GGCAGCCGCCGCCACCGCCGCCGCCGCCGTCGCCGGACCGCGACGGCAGGCCAGCACGGCCTCCGCCGCGGCCACCGCCGCTTTGGCCTTCGCCTATCCCCCCACCATGGAGCACTCGTCTCCGGGTACGCTCCTTGTTGCCGCCGCTAGGCGCCATGACGACGACGATGTTAACGCCCGGCTCCAACTCCCCTCCTCCTCCGACCGCGTCAAGACCGGCGGCTCGTCAACCAGCAGCAGCCTCGGGAACCGCGTCAAGGCCATCGGTGGCGCCCTGTTCCGCAGCGGTGGCGGCGGTGGTTCTCATAAGTCGTCGTCGGGGGGGGGTGCCGGCGGCGGGGGCGGCGGGTGGCGTGGGAATTGGCGAGGGGGAGGGGAGCAACAGACCGGGAGCGGTAGCAAGACTGGCGGCGGCAACACCGGAACCGCCGCCCCGGCCTCGCACCTGACGGAAGCATCGTCGACGATGGTGCTGCCCGGGAATCTCAGCAGCACGGCGTCGTTTGTCTTATCCCCCGCCAGCCGCGAGGCTCAGCAGCAGCACGTGGAGCTCCAGCTCCCGGCCAAGCTCGGCGGCGGTGGTGGCGCGCGCGAGGACGACGGCGGGGGAGGGGACGGCCGGAGGCTGGCGGCGGCTGAGGCCGCGCCCCTCGGCAGGATGGACCTCCGGGGTGGCGCCGGCGCCGGCCCAGCGGCGCCGTTCATGGCCAACTTCGACCGCGCACTGAGCGAGAACACGAGCAGCTCGGACGAGGGCGGTGAAGACGACTTAAACCTTGGCGGCGGCGGCGGCGGCGGCAATGACTCTGCCGGCACCGCCAAGGGCCCCGCAGGCGGCGGCGAGGTCGTCGGCCTGCCGGGCGGGGCGGCCATGTACGTCGGCAGCGGCAGCGTCGACGGCACCGCGAGCGCGGACGTGACCGTGTCGGACGTGGCGTTCTGGGCTCCCGAGGGAGAAGACGACAAGGACACCACCGACGGCGGCGGCGGCGGCGGCGGCAGTCGTGCCCGGGGGGGCGGCTCTACCGGCAAGAAGAGGGGGGGCATGTCGTCGGCCGTGGCGGCCTTGTCCAGGGTCACCGTCGGCAAGTGGCGCGGCTCCGGCTCCTCCGCTGCCGCCGACGCCGCGGAGACCGGCGGCGCCGGAGCCGGAGCCGGAGCCGAAGGCGGGGGGCAGCAGCAGAATCGGGGAGCCTTGTCCCGCAGCCCCGGGAGCGACTGCGTCCCGCCCGGGATAGAAGCTCTCCGGATCAAGGCGGTTGAGGGTAAGCGGGTTCCTCACGGTGTTGGCGGCGGGAGCAACGTGGGAAGGAAAGGGTTCATGCGGCGGCAAACCGGAGGCGGGAGACCAGTGTCGGATGGTGGCGGCCTCGCCGAGGTCCCCGGCCAGACGCCCAAGGTGGTGTGGGGGGGGGGGACCGCCGCCGCCGCCGCCGCCGCTGCCGCCGCCGCTGCCGCGCAACCCGCACCAATGGACGGGCGACAAACCGCCGCCTCTGCCGGCGGCGGCGGGAACAAGGGGGCGACTGTGAAGGCTAAGGAGGCAGCGGCGGAGTTTTGCGACTGCGTGGTGTTCAGCCCGTGAGAGGAGTCTTCATAGTGCGGTCTTGCGCGTAGCGGAGGCCCCGTGTTGGGGAGGAGGAGGTCGACTCGCGCGAGAAGCCGAGGGTAATCTCGTTCTGCAGCTTCTCCGATGATGGTAGACACGAACTCCCCCCACGTTTTTTTTTTGGGGGGGGGACTGTTACGTTTCTTTCGCCTCCGCGTGTGGGGGGTCAAGGATAACTGTTCCTTCGGGCGTGCGTCCTTGGAGACGGTGGCTTCTCATGATCTACGACATTGCACGAATCCCCGGATTCTTCCGTGTCGTTTTTTTTTTTTCTTTCTTGTCTTCGTCCCGTCATTTTCACTCTAGTTGGGGCAGTGGTTGGTTGACCGATCGATTGCCGCACTTTCTCCTTGTTGGCTCTCTGTGTTAGGTGGATTTGATTCATGTGCACCATGGCGGTGCGCAGCTACTAGAAGTTCACACAGTTTTCTACTATCCCCCCTCTGCCAACTCGGCGAGGTTTGCTCGTGTTTGCGCTTGGCTAGGCTTAGCGGCCGGCGTTTATTTTGCTGTGGCTGGCGCCGTTTCCTTCCACGGTATTTTTGTTTTGTTTTTTGTTTTTCGTGTGCGTGTTCGGCACATCTTGGTCGTCTGTTTTTTTAGGGAGTTGTATCGATTTGTTCACCCCGGGATATTTTCGATCTTGGCAATCTGATGTGTGTTTGTTGGTGGTGTAACTTGTGCTGTGTCATTGTTCGTGTTTTTTTCTGGCGTTAGCTGTGCGGCCCTTGAGTCGGGAGGGTTGCGGAGTTTTTTTTTTGTATTTTTTTCACGTTGTTGTCGTTGTTGTTTGTTGTTTCTTGTTGTTTGTCGTTGTGTTGTTGTTGTTCTTGTCGGTTGTTGTTTTTATCGCCGTCGCTGTTGCATTTGGTGGGTTTCCCGCCTCTTCAAAAAGCACACTCGATAGCACGAGCGGTTTGCCGTTATCATCCTTGGAGGGGAGGTGCCCGGGTTTGTTTTCTTCAGCGTGTGCGCTGTATGGTAAGCGGACGTGTTGGCTTTGGTGTCTCGGCTCTGTGCGGCGGCCGGAGTATTTCTTTCTTCCTGTTTTTTTTTTTTTTTTCGATTGTTTCACGTGTGTCGGCATAGGTTCTGCAAGAGGACCGATGCTCTTGTTCCGAGGGTCCCCAGTTTTGTTTTGGGGCGCGAGCCTGCCTGCCTGCCTGCCTGCCTATCGCTGCATGCTTGTCTTTTGCCTGGTGTCGTTTTCCATCGCGAAGAGCTGCCCGAAAACTTGTCGTTCAGGACTTTTTTTTTTTTTTCATTCATGGTAGTAGTTGAAGCCGCGTGAAGTCGTGTGTGTGGGTGCCCCGTAGAGGAAGAAAGTGTATGGTGGTGGTGACACCCCCCCACATACTTATTTTCGGTGACGTGGCCAGGATTTTAGTGTTGTTGCTGGTGGTGTTGTTGTGGTCGGAAAACAGATGATGGCTCGAGAGATAATTGAGCCGAGGCGGCGATGGTGTAAAGGAGGGGGCGCGACGGTCCGTTCCCTAGAGATGTTGGGCGTGAATGCGATTCATCCCAAACCTGTTGGGGGTGGCTTGGAAAGGATTCTCGCCCAATGCGATGTAGCAGGCCACACGTATAGTGGATTGGTCCATCCTTGGGGGTCACAACCGGAATTTAGCCTTTAGTAGTATTGCACCAGTATTATATGTTATTATAGCAGATGCCAGCCTCTACACTATTAAAGTGTATATTTCCAGAACAGTCCCCTTGCCCGAATAGTGAGCTAGCTGTTGCGGCTTGTCTTAGTACTAATGTCTCGAACGTGGACACGGCGGGACCGGAATAGTTCTTTTTTAGGGGAGTGGGGGGTGGGTGACGGTAATCTGGCAAAGCACCAGCACGAGGGAAGTCTATATATGTAGCGGTGCCGCGGCGATTCTGGGTTGTGTGCATATTCCACGCATCAGGATTTCGACAGGCAGTAGGAGCCGGGCGGGCGGAAAACGCGGCGCAACAAGCGGGGGCGGGGTGTTGGTTCACGGAGACCGATCCTGGAGGGTCATGGATCCGTTCGGTGTTTTGGCGAGAGGCCGTGGCTGGTGGCCGCCGGTCTCATGTAGCGACCACATTCGGGTTTGTCTTGCGAAGGGAGTCGTATACGCATTCACACGTAGGTACGTATGCCATGCGCACGCGCACGCACGCACGACTAGCTTGAAGTTGGCGCGTTGTGTTTGGTTGATGACGTCACGGATGATGATGATGATGATGATGGTGGCGTTTTTTTCTCTTTGGGTGTGTCGCTGCTCTCTCTCTCTCTCCTGGTCGTTGGTTCTTGCCGCAAGCCCATCACGTAGCCGAAAGACCTGTGTTCTGACGATGACGACAACGCGACGGCGTTCCAACGACACCAGGTAAAAAAAAAAAACTCTCTTTACGTGTTGCATCCCTGTGACATGTGCCCCCTGTTTCCAGGGAGCACACCCATCAGGTGGCGAGGCGGGCCGAGAGTGTGTGTCCAACCGGTTGTTTATGTCGTCCCGGTCTGCGAAGCAACTCGGGGCGGGACTTGACTGAGCGACGAGCGTTGTTTTCGCGTTTGTATTTTTTGTTGATGATTTGTTTTTGGGAGGAAAGAGTCTCGGGCGGTTTGGTCTGGACTGGGGGTGGGTGGGCCTCTCGTCGCCGGCTGTTGGTATTTTGTAGCATGCAGCCCGCGTTGCAAGGAAAAGTAGTGCGCCACCGCTCGTGATGATAATGATGATGACGATGATGATGCGGAGGTGGCGTTGTACAACACGGGAGGGCATGCATGTGGGCGGATGGTTTTGTTGTCGAGAGTTTGACGGCGTTGTTGGTGTACGACAGCAGCACGGGGAGGAAAAAACGACGGGTGGGTAGATCGTACTATACTTCTTAGTACTTGGCCTCCTCTCGTTCCTCTCTTTGTTTTTTTTATCTTGAAAGGTCATGTGTATGCGTACGCTGTGTGGTGGTGCTTGGTGTTACGAGGGTAACGCAGACGGTGTCACGACGGGGGGCGGGGCGGTGCCTGGCAAACAAAGGCTACGGCGGCTTCCCCTCTTTTGTCACTTTTCGTCGAGAGCAAGCATGAAATGTGTGGAGTGTGTGTGTGTGTGTTTTTTTAGTGAGGTGTAGAAGAATATTGTGTTTGCTTTTTTCCCTCTGCATGGTTGCTGTGATCTTCCCCTGCCGTGTATGTTTTCCCCTCTATGATGCTGCGAAGGTACATTACTATGTATTCCTACCGGCGAAAGTTGATGTGTAGGTCGAACCGGGTACTGTTCGCAAAACAAATGAGGTGTTTTGGTTGTTATTTCTGTGGGATATAATACACCAGATTTCTTTTTTTTACTCCTACCGGAAAGAGGTGTACAACAAGTACGCCGGTCAGTCGATTTGCGAAGCATGCCTCTAGGCGGAGCAGAGCATGGTATACTTTAAACCTTTTGACGCGTGCATTCGGAAGACGCCGAGAGAGGGGCGGTGATATTCTCGTCCGCAACGTTTTGTATGCTGTCCTTCACTCGGAGAATGTTACAGCGAAGAAGATCCAAAACATTTCTAGACTGGCTGGAGCTCTTTCGCACAACAAGCTTCACCATTTCCTTGTTGACAGCAGTGAGTGGAGCTAGAAAAAAAAACAACTACAAACAACTTCAGACAGGTCGACAAACAAGCCATCTTTCACAACGTCCTTGTCGTGTCGGCATACATCATGCTGTTGTGCAGTAACATCGATAGGGAGACTGAGGAACCCACCCACCCACTCGTTGTAAAACCTACATATACATTCTTACGACGTCCAACCTGCGCGCTGATACTTGCGCACAACAAGTGGCAAGCAAACGTGTGCGTGTTTCACGCATAGTTTCGTCTGTGTCATCTGCCTCATGATGTTAATTTAGTGTTCCCCCTCCTCCAGTGGATTGGCCTCACTTCCTTCGACGATGGGACCCCGGGGTGAAAGAAGTGGCCCAAACAGGCGGCGAGGGGTGAGTGAAATAGACAGGAACAACGAAGGGAGAACCATTTTTTTTTCCTGAGAAAACACAAGAAATTCGACTCTTCCAGAGACGATACGTAAGTGTCCGGGATCGATCAGCCAATGTATCCATCATGTCGCATGACGACCAACTTGAAAACACATTTATTTGAGCCACGATTGGTAGAAGTAGGAACGATTGGCCATCGGCGATGGGTCCTTCGTGCGGGGACCAATAATGCTCCGTCCTCTGGAGAGGACGCGTGGTCGATGGTACTACCAAGTAAGGCACTATTTGTACACGAGCAATGAGAACATGAGAACCCTTGCCCCCTCCCCGACGATGCTCCGCTGCTGTCACACCTTGGTCGATATCGCTATAGCACGACGCTTCATGCGTTGAGGGTATTAGAGAGCTTTCGCGCTCTCTCAGTGTTCTTGAAGTGAAACGGCAAAAAAAAACGAAAAAAAGTTGCGGCCATCCAATGCACTTTATTTCATGCAAGACATTTATTTCGTGAGTTTTGTTGGCCAAAGAGTTCGGTTTGCTTCGCTCGATCGACGGCGAAACAATCACAACCACAACAGAAGAGAGAAACACACACAACAGTTCCACTCCAAGCGGTGTATAAATACATAGCCGCATCGCAAAACCTTTCCCTAGGTGAACTATTTTCGCGGCAGCGCGCTCCATGTCACAAAACCACAAGAATTTGAGGAGTATTGCAGATAAGACCGTCCTCTTTTTACCGGCGGCGTCCCTTCCTCCGGACGGACGTCGTTGAAAACAACACAAACCAAAAAAAAAAAAACAGCATCAACCAACGCTCGCTCCACGTCACAAAAACACCGCATATACATCATACAAACCTCTCTTTGCTCGGACAAGCCGAGACCTGTCAGAGGGCGGCACCTCAAAGGGCACAAGACACCGCCGCACAAACAAAAACAACAATACAGCAGCAATAACCAAAACACTTGACACAAACACCAGCCGCCAGCAGCAAACGGCGGCGGAAAAGTGGCACACCTAGTTACGCGGTTCCGTCCTCAAAAGCGAGGGTGCGAGGGGAGGGTGGAGCCGGGTCAGCCAGGCAGACTCGTCATCATATCACCATATCGACCCGACAAGGTATTTACTTGCAAAGTATCCCTCACATCCATCAGATCGAAGCTCCGAGGGAAGTCATGCATTACCCCAAAAAAAGTTTAGCCCATCATAACCATCATCATCATCATCATCGTCGTCATCATCATCTCGAAGCTCTGAAGGTCATCACGTCTCGCCATGGAAATTGAACTTGCATCCCCCCAAATCATCATCTCCAAGCCGAAGTGATCACAGCTCGCCCGGATAACGGATAACGATTGCAATCCCATATTTCACCGGTCAATGGTCTAATCGCTAAGGCATGCTAAACACGAGCACGCCCCCAACCTCCATCATCATCATCATCATCACCATCATCCCGAAGCTCCGAAGGTCACCCCTTCCAGCACCGCGAGCGCGCCGGGCTCGCGGACCGATGCCACGCCGGCCCCCTCCCCCGCGAACGCCTTGTCGCGGACTAGCAACGCCCCGAGGAAGCCCATCCCGTTCACGTCGATGCCGCCCCACTCGCGGCGGGAGCGGGGCACCAGCATCAGCCACCGCGGCGTCAGGACGGCGTTGTAGGGAGGGAGCGTGGACACGGGGACGGTGGAGGCGGTGGCGTCCCCTGGCGTTCGGGTAGGCTGGTGTGCGGCACGACGGAGAGGGGGGGGTTGTAAGACTGTACAGCAGTATACAGATCTTTATAGATGGGTCCTTTTTGGTTCGTTTACAGGTCGCGCGTCAAAAATACGTCGGCTGCGAGAGCTGTTCGAGCTTGGGAAACGGCACCGACGGCAGCCGGGCGGCTGATCCACACCAACACATGCTTTACTTTCATCTTGAATCACACTATGCTTTTATGGACTCACTTCGGAGCCGCCCCTTATATTCATGTAAACATATGCCGATACGCCGTAGTCAGTAGACCATAGGGGGGGGGGTGTACTCATAGTTGTGCATGCCGTAGTCGTTAGACCATGGACCTCCCATCCCTTCAATGCCGGGACGGACGGAGCGATGTGCCGGGTTTTCGCCGGCCCAGGCTACGGTACGGTTAACAAGGAAGAACCAGGGATTGTTGCGGATTGTTGGTTACTACTATACCAGAAACGTACTCCCAAATACAGCACTTTGTTGTCACGCCTAAACCAACGACGGCGTCGGAGCAACCAGCAGCAGCAGCAGCAGCAGCACATATAGGCCTGACGAGTTAACCCGACAGCCGACACTGCCCAAGACTCCGGCTCGTCGCCGCCGCAGTCGACACCACCTAACAAAACAGCCCACCTCTTGAGCGAGAAGAGATGAGGTGTCGAAGCCGACCTCTCGCAGGAGCTCCACATACCGCGTCTTCAGGTGCGCTGATGAAAAACGAACGAACGCGCACGAGGGATGACAAAACACATATGTGAGGCAAAACAGTGGAACGTCAACCACAAATGCTTAAAAGAAAGGGTCAAAGAAAAAAGGACGAGAAAGCAGCTTGCGGATGCCGACAAGACACGGCGAAAGCGCTGGGGGGGGGGGGGGGGGGGGCCCGGGAAAAGTCCCCCCCCCCCCCCCCAAGCCAAAGGGGAAAAACAACAAGCAACCCGGGCCGGGAACCCCCTTGTTTTTGAACCCCAGGGGGGCTTTTTTTTTCCGGTTCCCCCGCCCCCAAAAAAAAAGGGAGCAATAACGACCCCCCCCCCAAAAAAAAAAAATCCCTAGAACCGGGACAAACAAAAACAAGGGCCCCCCCCCAAAAAAAAAAAACAAAAAAAAAAAAATGCCCTTTTTTTTTTTTTTGTTTGGCCCCCCCCCCCCCCCCCCCCCCGACCCAAAAAAAAAAAAAAAAAAAAATCCCCCCGGGCAATCGTCCCCCCCCCCCCCCCCAAGGGAACCCAAAAAAAAAAGGGACCCCAAAACAAAAAAAATTGAAAAAAAAAAAAAGTAAAAAAAAAAAAAAACGGCGGGCCCCCCCCCCCCCCTTCGGGAAGGAAGGACATAACCA